TACTGTACTGTCAACTATTGTAGAGGTCTTGACCTTATTGGCCTCCTCCTCTCCTGCTTTCACTGGCCCTTTTAGCTCAGGCCCACAGTACTGGACCTGGCTTCTAGGCTCCAGCCTCCCTAACTGCAGGTCCTAACAGTGGCCCCCTGGATCTCTGGGCCCCTTGCCCTGCACTTGGGCCAGTTGAAATCACCAGGTTTGCTGGCTCTGGCAGTCTCTGGCTATGATGCCTCCTGGACTTCGAGCCCCTCCTGGGCTCCATTGTAGTACAATCATCCCTACACATCAGTTGGGTAACTCAAGAGTTGGTCACAAGTTATGTTTGGGTCATAGGCTAGGTCAGTGGTTCTCTGCCGTGCTAGATGCAAGGTATCCCTCCTTAGACTCAAGGCACCCCACCAAAAATACCAGCTCTTAGTTTTTACTTGTCTTTTGACTACATTAAAATAATAGAGCAATTCTTCTGTTGTGAAGAACTCAGAAAGACCACAATAGGTCAGAATATTTTAAATTACGGATTCCTATTTGAAATCTCTGGGTTCATCTTGTAAATACTGTTAGCACTGCTAGAGATAAAAACATTGCATGGCACTCCACAGCACCCTTGAGAGGATTTCAAAGCACCCTGGTTGAGAATTACTGCACAAAGTGAAATAGAATTCTTCCCTAATTGGGTAACCTAGAGTTGGTCACAAGCTTTGCTTTAGTTGTCCACTACAAGAACATACATATTATTACTAGCCAATTGCCCATCATGAATGACGGATTTCAAAGAACTGTTAACATGGCCGGCCCCGAGGGGTGGCCCTGCCCCCGCCCATTCTGTTGCCCGTCACTGGCAAGTCACAGCCCCCCCCCAGCCCTGCTGCTGCCCCTCACTCCCAACACACTGACCCCAGCCCTGCCAGTGACCCTCACTCACCAAACTGCACTACCTTGGGCCCTGTGGGCCCTGATGATGCCCCTCACTCCCAACTTGCAGCCTCCCACCCCCCATCCCTGCTGGTGCCCCTCAGTCCCGACCCACAGCCCCCTGGCACTTCCAGTGCCCCCCACATTACCAACCCACAGTCCCCCACCCCAGTGCCTCTCACTTCCAACCCACAGCTCCCTGCCCTGCTGGAGGGCCCCAGCTGTCCCCATCCTGCCTGGGCAGGAGCTCAGTGGCTCCAGTTCATGCAGGTGGTGGCGGCAGAGTGTGTCAGGCCCCAGCACAGGCTGAGGGAAGAGGAGGGGAGGCTTGTGGCCCCCCTGCCCTGAGATAGGCCTGCAGTGCCCTGCATGGCCATGGCCCCCTTCCCCTCTTTACATCCCCCACAGGTGGCAGCTGTTCAGCCCCTTTGAGTACAGGCACTGGCACCTGCACTGCCACCTGCTCCTTTCCCCACTGGAGAACAGGCTACCCTCCCCTCGCCCTGCACTGTCACAGCTGTAGCCCTTGCTCCCACCCCTGGAGCAAAGGAAAATCCTCGACATTTAGGCAAATTAAAAAAAAAAAACGGCCAGACCACAATCCGAGTACTTAAAAAGAGCAGGGACATTGTTAAAAAGAGCCTCTGTGGAGGTGAGGCGGGGGGAGCCCCTGCACCAGAGGCTGTAGGAGAAGATGGCGGCGGCAGATGGGCTCCCGTTTTAACTCAGCTGGCCCTGCCCCTGCCTGCTCAGCCCATCAGTGCATAGGCAGTTTAGCAAGTGTTACAGACAGACAGAAAGACAGACAGACCCAGGCTTTTATTATATTAGAAATGAGGTGGTAGTTGCAACTACATGAGGAGAGCTAAATTTGTATTTTGGACTTAAATCAGGAAATGAGCCTCTCTTTTTGTATGAAGCACATAGGGCATCCTCTCCAAAAGTGTTAAGAATGAATATCCTGATAATTTACTATTAAAATGATTAGTCTGCAAGTTGAAATTCCTGTCAGAAACTTAGTGTTCTTTATCAGATCTTTCTGTTTCCTAGTAACCTTAATAACAGAATACAGACCTTCATTAAACACTCATGTACAGGCTATTCTTGAATAAATTAACTTGCAACCAAGCAAAATTATTAATAATTACTGTATATAATTGTCATGATTATGAGCTAACAGGCAAAACCATATCACTCTCCATTGAGACCATTGTGATATAAGAGATGACTCAGTGGGTGTGTCTACACCAGACCCTTAATGAGCAGAAGACTGATTCTAACGCACATTAGCAGGACAGGAAAAGCCCATGCTTATGCACCATTATGCAGCAGATTTAGTCTAATGTGCGGTAGCATCACAAAAATACCCCATCTATGCTAATTAATAGACATTTAACTTAGTACCTGTCATTACAGGTACTAAATGTAATGCACCATAATTATGGCACATTAATGAACATGTAGATGCACCCAGCATGTCACTGAATCTCCTGCAAAGTTATAACAACACCAACAAATAATTAAGGTTGATACCATGGATCTTCAACTCATGTATGTTTAAAGATTGTGTATTCTCAAGGGAGATTCAAAGAGAAACAAAACCAAACAAACCAGGTTAAACTGTAGATAAGGTTAAGACCAAGGTCACATGTTGATAATTTAATGAATCCTTGCAGTAAATTATGAACCAAGAAATTCAGTAACTTAGAATTAAAATTACAGTTCAGAGAAATCTAAATATAATAATAAAGAACAAAAAGGTACAATTAAAATACATAAACAACCTTACTTCTGCCCTGTCATAACATAATTGTAAATCAAGAAAATCTTGCCTTAGCCATGTACCCCGAGACCACATAAACTAACATGCTTTAGTGAGAATTCTATAGTTATTGATGGAGCAGTTTGGGATATTTGGTTCTCAGAGCTTCTATGTTTCTACCAGTTAATAAATTCCCTGATAGCTCAGGTGTTACCAGCCTGTGGTTTTAAAGCTAAAGACTTTAAAGCTCCATTTCTGTTACTGACCTGAAGTTTTGATTGACCACAGTGCATAGGATAGAAGCAATCATGAAGTTCCAAAGTGGCCATGCATTTGTTAGATCTTTAGCAAAAGAAAAAAGAAAAAGAAAAAAGCAAGAATTCTTTGCTTACTGTCTCTGTCACATTGAACACCTCCCAGCCTTCTGTGTACAAAGACAATAATCTTGATGAAATGAGATTTCTTCTCTGGGGCTTACTTCCACTCTCCAAGATCTCATATACTTCCACCTTGAATACAGTAGTACAACAACAATAAAATGAAATGGTCTTCAGAAAGGAGGACAGTAAAAATTCACATTTGCTCCACCTCTGGGATGGATTCACATTTCTGTTGCTCAGAAGGAGATTAAAAAGTTTCCTTTGGCTAGCTCCATAAAAGGCAAGAATGTATCATTTGCATACATATCTTGACCTCGCTCAGGTTGGGAAAAGTGACAAATAAGAACATGTATATTTGGTATTCATAATGACAAAAGCATATTACAATTATGGAACAATGGGCAGAGTGCCAAGGTGTTGAGAAAACACTCTTGAAAAGAAGTATCTGCATATGGAAAATATTTGCCCATAACTTTTCTCTCTTTCAGCTACTTGATACTGTCCCAAAACATCTTTATTGTTTTTTTTCTTTTTAATTTGGGTTTGCAAATGTCTTGGTTCCTTGGAAATGGACTAAAGCAGTAAGATTTGGACCAGGATTTGAAGTATCTCAAAATCCGGCTGTGGCTTGAGCTCATCTTTAAGGAACAGAAAATTGCCCTGCTTCCTTTTGTATAGATAAAAGTGTAGACGGTTTGACAACACAGATGTGTCTCAGGAGAGAACAAGAAGGATAGCACATCAACAAAGCCCAAACCCTTGATGCAAATCTTTGCAGGCTGGAAGCAAAAGAAGTGGATGGAACTTCTAAAGTGCTGGCAATAATCAAATAAAACACGACTGTTTTGCATCTACACAACAGATGGTTGTGCTCCCATTTCTCACTCACCTTTCTTTTCTTGACTTTATCTTCTTAAACACACCCATATAATTAACCCTAATGGCACAAATGAATAATTAATTAATGGACAAAGAATCTCACTACTTACTTTGCAAAAATGTTGAAACAGAGATTTTCCAGCCATGTGCGTTTTCTTCAGCTTGAAAACTCTGAGCTCAGCTTTTAGCATTTGCTCATTCTTCCCAACGGATGAGATGTTGAAATAGAAATAAGACTCATCAAAATAAACTGGAAAAGAAACATTGTTGTTGTTGCTGTTGCTGTGTATTTATTTATTTCCAAATCAGTGTCCGCTGGGCACAACACACGCGACATAATTGGGATGGGAATAATTTGATTTTCCAGTTAATGGCAACATATCTTCGGAGACATGCTCAGCTCTACGCAGCTCTAGTTCTTTTCGGAGGTGGCAGCAGAAGACAGTGTAGTGAACACAAGACTTAAAAGTAGATAGATGTAGGCAGCAAATCAAAACGCTGCAGCCTACAAATTAAAAGTTTTTGGGGTTTGTTTGTTTTTTGTAATCTCGTTGGTCTAATACAAGATATCCTCTCCACTACGAGTCCCGATTGCCCTTTCCTCTAGAGCAGACCAATACGGCTCCAACCTGGATACCCGCAGCCTACATGAAACGAGCGGTCTGTCCGGGGAGGGCGCAGTGAAGATCTTTGCGACCAAAGCAGCCTCCCCTGCCACAAGAGACTCCCTGCCCCGCAGGAAGGCTTCTCAGCTCACGTTGCTTTGCCCTGGCACCACCCTTGCACCTCCCAGCCCACGGCCACGCGTGCCCCTGCCCCTGCCCCCGGCCCGGCCTCCGCTCCGCTCACCTCGATCTTCAAAGCTCCGCACCACGTTGCCCTCCAGCACCTCGGGGGCCTTGGTGATGCCGTCGGAGTCCGCCACCTTGTTGAAGAGGTCCACCATGAACTGGGGCGGCTTCCTGCGGGGCAGGACGTCGCGGGGCAGCTCCTGGATGTCAAAGACCTGCTGCAGGCGCTGCATGGCCTCGCTGAGCAGCTCCTCGGCCCGGCTCTGCGGCGCGGGCGGCAGCGCGGCCGGGCGGGCGGCAGCGCAGGGCTGGAGGAGCAG